TTTTTCAAAATTTCATATGTTAATGATAAATTAATGCTAATTTTTTTTTTTTTTTTTTTTTTTTTTTTTTTTTTTTTTTTTGAATTGGTCATTATGGATGATGAAAAATTTTATGACAGACATTTTTTTTCTGGACAGAATTCCATATATTGAATCACTGTTTTTGACATGAAACAGTCTCTTTTTCTATCTTTCTCATTTCATTTCGTTTATTTTATTTACTTTGGGCCAAATATTTTGTTCATCAAATCATGTTGTCTATGTTTGATTTGATTTGGTCCATTCATGTGTGTGGTCCACATATACACACACAATGATCGCAGAACAGGCAAAAAATAAATAAATAAAATATTCCTGACAAATTCTGGCAAATTGAAATTCTTATTATTCTTATTTCCACACATCAGTATGATCACCACCAACAAAATGAATGTTTTTTTTTCTTGTTTTGTTTTTTGTTATGTCCCATTCAACGAACAATATCTATCAAGGAAATTCTTCTTTTTCTTTCGTTGTTTTTTGATTTTTTCCTTGATTTGATTTTTCTTTTTTCATTGAAATTTTTCTTTCTTTTTGCTTCAAATAAAATGTTTTTTTTCATCCTGTTTTCGAAACGGAAATACGAATAGAATTTTGTTTCGTATTTTGATTTAGGCAATGAGAAATAAAGAAAGAAAATGAGGAACGAATCCATTTAGTTTTTTTTCATTTCTCAATGTCTGTACATAACAGCACATAGACATAATAATAATAATAATAATTTTCATTCCAAAATGTGAATTGTGTGATTGAAGAATTTTTTCGTTTTTACTGAGTAAAAATAATTCATTTTCGTTGAAAAAATTTTCATTCGAATCACACACACACACAGACAAACATACAGAAATGAAACAAAATGGATTCATAAGAATCGTTTCGTTTCACAATTCACAGTAGAAATGAGAAAAGAAAAAAATGAACATTGAACCGATAAATGACGTTGAACAAAATTCTATGAAATATAGAGAGAAATAAATAAAAATAAAGAAAAAAAATGATGTTGATGAATCTAGAATGTTGGAATAAAGAATATAAAAAAAAAGTTTCAAAAGAAAAACTTACCAAAAATTTTTGTTTCTGTTTATGAAGGCCGTTAAATTGTACATACAATTCTCTGGTCGCCCATTTTTATTTGTCGAAATTCTTCTATTCTGCTTCCCCCCAAAAGATAAATAGGCCAAACACAGTGTTTACAGTAGTGTTTGCGTGTTTATCATCATCATCATTTGTTGTTGTTGTTGTTGTTTGAGATGTCAGAGTTTCAAACAACAACAAATGATAAATAATAACAACAACAAAAAAGTTTGGTCGCCTTTTGTTTGTTTTTCCTGTTTTTGTTTCTTCTTGTTCTTGCAATTCGTATGTATTTAGCATCTGTGTTTCATAATCATCATTGAAACAAATTTTTCGTTTTGTTTTGTTTGCTGAATTGGTTGCATTCAATTTTTTTCATTTCAATTCTTTTGAATGATTCGTTTGTCAATGTTGTTGGGCATGATAAAAAATAAATTGATCTCGTCCATATCTCCATTGAACAATTGTCGTTTTTTTCAAATCAATTAGAAATTGTTTGTTTCATTGATTTTTATTCGTTTTCTTGCAATTTTCCATTTCGAATCATAATAATAATAATAATAATAATGATGATGATGGCAATAATTGAATTCATTTTTTTCTAACGAATACAATCTTTATTGATTCTCTAATAACTTTTAATAAGGTTTTTTTCCTGGTCGTTTTTTTTCTTTGATTTTTGTCCTTAAGAATTATTTCGTTTGAATTGAACTGAATTGGAAAACAAAACACCCAAAAAAAGGAATCAAAATAGACGAAAATGTGTCTCTGATTGAGAATCTAAGAATTCAATCGTTTGATGATGTAGAATTATGGTTATTTTTCTGTTGTTGTTATTGTTGTTGCCATTCGAATCAAATAAAGTCCAATTTTTTCTCATTATTTCTGGAAAAAAAACAGAAACAGAAATAAAATAAACATTTGAAAAAGATATAATTATTGTTAGGAACACATACTGTTACCAATTATGATCTTGAATCAAGTTGGAAAAAAAGTTGGAACAAAAACAAAAATTGACCAGGAAAAAAAAGATGGATTTTATTCGGACGGAAAAAAGTTCTTATCGAATGATTCGATCGAATATAATAATTCATTCGAATCCAACTACTATCGAAACAACAATCGATTATTTTTTCCTATATCGAAAGAATTTATTTTCTTCTTCCCTTCGATTATATTCGAAATGATGATGATCCTTATTGATCGATGATGGTGATTTTTCTTTTCCTGAATTCTTTTTTTCTCTCGTTGAATTTATACTTTTTTTTCGTAATTCTGTATGATTATTTTGGAAAATATTATTCTATTGGATGGTGTTGGTGATTATCATCATCATCATAGTTGATGGATTTTTCTTTCTTTTTTTCACCAATTTTTTTTATATGCAAAAGTTTTGTTTAACGATATTCTAAATGGACTTTTTATGTGAAGTCATATTTTTATTTCTAAAAAAAGAATAAACTTTCGTCAATTTTTCCTTCGAATAAATTCTTTTTTTTTCATATCTTTTTTTTATCCACCATTCATTTCAATTACATTAGATCAAATATCCACAACGACAATCATTATGTGAAACATTTATGAAAAATTCCGTTCAACAACGATTATATAAATTACATGGCCGTTGTCTATGTCTTACATTATTGATCTATGGTATAATATCATTGATATTTTATATGCAATTGGATAATTGGCGTCAAACATTGATCAAATTGAATGTAAGTGGTTTTTTTCCCTGGAATATTTATTGAAATTCGAATCTTTTTTTTCCGCTCTCATTCGGTAGAAATGTACTCTTTATTTCTACATAGTTATTAGTTCTGGATTCTTGGGAATTTTTTTTTCAATTGATTAATCGATTTTTTTTCATGATAAATGAATATTTTTTATTTTTATAGATTATAAATGGATCATTATCATCATCATCATTAACTTATTCATCGAAATTGAATAAATGTAAAATTCGACCTTATTCAATACAACAATTGGGACGAAAATGTATGGTTAATAATAATGATGATGATAACGATAATGACAAAGATGATAATGGTGATGATCAAAATTTCAATAATCAATCGATTCAAATGTCTTTATTGATCATTATTGGCCTTATTCTATATTTAGCCTATACGGTTGAATGTTATCATTGTTCAACAAGATTTGTATTGGTGAGTTTTTTTTGTGGAAAACTTTTTTTTCCATTTGATTCATTTATTATAAATAGGATATCTGATTTCATATTGTAGAAAAGTAAAGAACTTTATTTATTTATATAAATTTATTGTAAGAAAAGAAATCTCTTTTTTAGCGAAAGAAAGAAAAAAGTTTGTCTCAAAGTTTTTTCCGTTGAATAAGACAAACTATTTTTTCTCGTTTATTTTTCTATAGTAATGCCATTCAAGTGAAAGTTTCAACAACAAAAAAAATCTCAGCAACTAAAAGAATAAAGATCACAATTGTTTCCTTGGAATTGAAAGTTGTGCAACTGATGAATTTTTCTTCTTCTTTTTCGTTTTTTTTTCTCAATTCAATTTAATAGGTTAACGGAAAACGTATCCAATATGTATTGGATTATATCGATCAAATGCGACAAGCAAAACCGATTGTATGGTGGAAAGCTGGTATGTTCTTATCTTTCGATTCTTTTTTTTTTGTCTGTTTCTGATTGAATTTCCGTGTTGAAATTGATATTTTTTTCATTTTATTCTGTTCTGTTTTTTTTTGTTCTGATAGCATCATATCATTATATACGTTGCTATAATCAATCGACCTGTCAAATGGTTAATACAAGAACATTATCAGCAAATGAAATTCGATCGAATCATATTACACAACAAAGACAACGTTTAGGACGTAAACGTATCGATACTAGATATTCGAATGCTCGTTTTCATTATGAAGATCGATTTAATATTGAAGATATTTCCGATAGATTGATTGACATTGATCGTTCGCCAATCACAAGAATACGTTTTTTTAAAGGATTTGTTTTTATCGATAAACAATCTGCACAAGAATTCGATCGACAACGTACAAATTTTTTTCATCATAATTTTAAACTTGATGATTATCTTGAAATACGTGAAGGTATCGATCTGGATGGTATCGATTTTTATGATTCAATCATTACATTATCTACTGATAATAATAATGGCCTATTAAATTGGCATTGGTATTGTCGACCATCAATGTTTTGGATATTTTCAGCTATTCTTCTTTCATGGCCATTTCGTATTATTCTCGAATATAATACTTCCTATGTTAATTATAGGGTAAGAATTATAATTTATTTTTATTTAAATTTTAATAAATTTTAAACAAATTTTTTCAGGTTGTGAAATTATTCAGTTTGCTCAACAACATCAATCAATCGACAATCATGAACATTCCTAATCAACAACATTCACAATCATGTCATCAACGATCACAATCTATAGATAATAATTTAAGTCTTTCTAATTATTTAATTGCACCAAGTTATTCGGAAGCAATTCTAACATGTTCTGATAATTTTGCTCAAGGTCTTAATAATGTTCCTACAACAATGATGATGGATGATTCCAATTCAATGAAAACAATCGAAATGCCTTTAACAATTGATCTACCATCATATGATGAAGTAATCAATATGAATACTGATAATCATTATCATAGACGATCAATTCGACGATGTTTAACTCAATTATTTTTCGGTGATCATAATCACAATAATCATGATGATGATGGTAATGATAAACCAAACATTATGAAACGATCAATTACAATCGATTATTGTATGAACAATAATAATCGTTTATGGGAATTTTTAACTAAAAAATTTGATCAAACAAATTTTTATAATTACAATACAAAACAACCATGTAAATCATTACAAAATGTTGTTGTTAATCTTTAAAATGACAAAAAGAATTTTTTTTTTGTTTTAAAAAACGTTACAATTGAAATGAAATGAATAAAATTACAATGTTTTGAGCATTAATTTTTTGTTTGTTTAAAATGTCTTGGTGATTGGTGGTGATGGTGTGTGCATTGATTAATCATCTTTTCTTGGTCTTTTTGCCATATTCTTTTTCGATTTATTAGATACTTTGGATAATTTTGAAGAGTTTATATTTTCATCAACAGAATTTGATTCACCTTATATAGATAGAATGAAATAGAATAAGAAATTGATAATAAAACAACCAATGAATCTACTTACCATCTTCCGAGCCACTAGCATTAGTATTTTGTACATCAGTTTCATTTTGTCCATGTTCATTATCTTTTACCAACTTCATTATCATAAACAATATTAGTTAATTGATAAAATCATTTGAATGAATAATACATACTTGAAATGTTACCGAAGATTTGGAAAATAAACGATCAGCTTCTTTAAATTTTCGAACATTTTTTCTATCCGAATTTGATTGATTTGTTCGATTTGTCGAAAGATATCTTTCCCATCCTTTAATAATATTACCATATTGATATGTATCTTCTAGATATGATCCTTCAAAATTATAAATTTGTTGCTCCAATGTTCGTAATGATTGCTATTCGGGCAATAGATTATTGCAATAAATTTGTAAAAGTTTATTAAAAGTTACTTTATTGAGATTTTATAATCGTAAAAATGCCTTACCTGCATTTCGGCTCGTTTTTTAATCAATTCAGCAAGATGATTTTTTGTATCCGAAATCGAACTAGGTTGATTAGTTTTGCTCGTCATGATTATGATGATGATGATGATTGTGAATAATTTCAATCAACGATTTTTTCGGGTTTCAAAATAATGAAAGAATTTGGCCCAGAAAAAAATAACGAAAATCTCGATTGAAACCCAAGATTGTCAATTTCATATGATGAAAAAAAGTTTTGGTAAAAAAAATTCGAATGCCAAGTTTATACATTGCCAGCACATGTTTCATTCAAAATTCAAAATTCGGAATCCATTTAGAAGAAAATCAAAATCAAATTATGGAACTATCATTTCGTGATTATTTTTGTGATTTTTGTGGTGGTCTTCTTTGTTTCTCATCATCGAAATTTTTTACCAAAGATTCATATAATATTGGTTCATCCAACGTTGATCTATCCTGTTATCAATGTAATTCTACATTTAAAAAAGGAATTACATCATTATCATTTGTACCATTACGGCAAATACTGAAAGCTGAAATTATTAAAGATAGTGATCAATGGGCATCAGCATCGATTACCGATGAAAAATGTCCCAAATGTACACACAATCGTGCATATTATATACAAATGCAAACACGTTCAGCTGACGAACCAATGACAACTTATTATCGTTGTGAAAAATGTGCTCATAATTGGAAAGAATAACTCTTTGTTTTACAAAAATTACCTTCAATAATATCTGAATATAATTATGTTTAATGTGTGTGTATTTTTCAATTTATCCTTGAAATATTTCCGTTGCTTGTCAATAAAAAAATCTATAATTATTTTCTAAAAAAAAATTCAGGGCGTAAATACCTGCGCCCATTCTATTTCTACCTATTTGATCAACGATATGTTAAAATATCGTTGTTGTTTTGATTAATCAAAACAAAATAAAATAAAATTCTTTTTTTCCTGGAACGTAATTTACTGGAATACTTCAAATCAAATTAAAATCATAATAATAAAATTTAGCAAAAAAAATGTCTCAATGGTATCATCGAAATCCTTTGAAAAGTACTGCACCAATAAAATTTAATCTACCATTAAAATCGGCACAAACATCAGCCATTCAAATATGTGTTGCATTAAATAAAGCTCGTTCAACAATTATTGAATTAGTTCCTGATCCAAGTTCTGATGCAACAATTTTGGATGAAACAATCAAAACCTATCTATCATTATTACAAGGATTTATTCTTTGTTTTCATTTGGATAAAGATCGTCAACCAACACAAACATCACGTTTACGAAATCTGATATTATTTAAATGGACCAATTCGGTTATCGGTATGAAATGGATTCGATTAGATTAATAATTTTCATTCGTTGTTGTAATCATTTGTTATTATTTATAAATGATTTAATTTTCGTTGATCAACAATAGGAACTACTGAAAAATATAATGATAGTGTTTTTGAATTAATTTCAATTCTTTATGAATATGCATTATGGTTGATGAAACATTCAACTTGGATTGCTGCACAGGATAAAATCGATATGGATTCAGCAAAACAGGTACATAATTCATTAAAACGTGCTGCTGGAATTTTCAATTTTATTCAAACACATTGGTAAGTTGTTCCTTGTTTTTGAATTCGAAACAAATCATATTCAATCTTTGATCATCATCTTGATGTGTGTTCAAGGGTTGGACAAATGTCGGAAAAAATTGTTCCAGGTTCAGATTTAGATATAAACGTTATCAATGCTTATCAATTAACATGTCAAGCTGAAGCACAAGAAGTAACTATTGCACGTGCAATTGAATTAAAACATAATTCATCATTAATTTCATCATTGGCTCATCATACATTGGTTATGTTTACCAAAGCTTCAACATTGATTAAATCATTGAAAAATAAAATGTTTAATAAATGGCTAGCATATTTGGAATTGAAAGCAGCTGTTTATGAATCTTATGTAAGTATTATTGTTGTTGTTATGAACCAAATATTCGGAATTGATATTCATAATCTCGATTATTATAGGCTTATTGTTATCTTGGTGAATCATTATTGGAACAGGAAAAATGTGGTGATGCAATACGATCATTGGATGAAAGTGAAAAACATTTTCAACGTGCAAAAAAATTATGTCGTGAATATAGTTCGATTAAAGAACAAGTAAAAAATGGTTTAAATGCTAAAATTGATGAACATTTATTTTTTCGTAATCTTCGACCATTAGTCGAACGAATTAAAGAAAAATGTTTACGTGAAAATGGTTTTATGTAAGTTGATTTGAGATCGATTGATTCAAAGTTATTAAACTTTTTGAATTGCTTACAGCTTCCATCAAAAAGTGCCTATCGACTGTCCACCGCTTGAATCAAAAGCAACACATGGTCTAGTTGCACCAGAAGAATTTACATTACCACCATTGAATGAATTATGGAATAGTGAAGCTTATTTTGCTTTTGATATTGCTGTTGTAAGTTGTTATCCGGCGTTTAAAATGATTTCATATTGAAATTTGATATTTTCTTTTACTCTCTTTTTTTTGATTGATCAATCAAGGATCAGAAAAAAATCAACAAAGAAAAAGAAACACCGATTGAAGAGATAAAAGAAAAACCAATACAAACATCACATGATCAAACGAATGAAAGTGGATGTTCAATACAATGAATAAATCATCGAATATCCATCCAGATTCTTGGAAACAAATTTCAAATTAATCGAATAACATTTTTTTTGTTTTGTTTTCTAGTCTAACCTCAATTATGTATAACGAATAACAAAATCATTATAAGCAATAATCTCTACTTCAATCGGGCAACTAATCAAACGGTTATATAAATATTTTATTACATTGCCAAAAAAAAAATTGTCAATGTTTTTGTTTTATTTCTTCTTTATCATATTATTATTGTATGTCAGATTTGATCATCATATTAAAAATGATTTACTCTACACATAATAATAATAATAATAATAATCTTATGGAATTTGAATCAAATAAAGTGTTCGACAGATATACAGACAGACAACAAATGAAATGAAAAGTGTTTGATTGATTTATAATGAAATTTTATTATTATAACTAACCTTTTTTTCTGTTCTTTTGGAATGGTTGTTGTTTCTTTTTTTTTTTTTGATTGTCAGAATATCCTATGTATAACAGTAATAATAAAAATTTTTATGATTACGATTCATGATTACAGCTTTTCTTTTCTTTTTAATAAATTTTTTGGTAAAAAATGTAATCATTTCGAATGTTAAGATAAAAAATGATTATGTTATCTATGAAAAGGATATGAATGAGAATCGAATTCTTTTTGAAATCCACATATCGTTCCTGTTTGTGGTTTTTTTTGGTTTGATAAAATTTTTAAAAAATTTTGTATTTAAGTTTTGCTTTTAGTTTTTTTTTGTATTACGACAATCCAAAAAAAGATAGTTTTAATCTCCGTTTCGACATACTCCGTATCGTGTTTCATGCAACAACTAAACAAAAACTGAAATAAAAAACCATCTGTTGCCATTGTCAACCAAATAAGTATGCAAAACATTTATCGTTTTCTCTTAAAAAAAAATAGAAGAATAAGTGGAAAAATTAATCATCAAAAAGTTTTTTTTTTTTGATTAAACAAATGAATGATTGATCGGGTGTTATGGTTATCAATTGATCTTATTAACAACTTTTACAATGATTAAGGATATTGGTTACAAAATCGATAACAGCAGCATACCAACAGATCAACATTTCATCCACAACAATAATAATAATATTATTTCGATTGCCGAAAACAACAATAATACTTTTGTATTGATTTTGGTATTCACTAGTTGGTCAGAATTTCTGAATTCTATTTATCGCGCAATGGATTTTGAATCATTTTCATTAACAAATAATTCCGGTTATAATATATCGAAATTAGTTTTGGATTTTCATAATGTTTCACGTTATGGTTTAGATTTTCGTCGATCTGATGCAACCATACTTGATCATGATCTTCAAGAATATGCCTATCAAATGGCTACATTCGGTATTATGGCCGGGATTCTTTTTGCCATTCTAACATTCATACTATTTACCTTATGTTTTTGTATTTGTTTTTTTCGAAATTCGGTTAAAAAACCAGTGAATCAATATGAATATCAACGTAATCGTCGTAATAGTTGTTGTCGTTTTTCATCATTAATTATTATATTAATTACATTTTTAACAATGGCTACATATATTTTTAGTTTTATTGGTCAACAACAATTTAATGATTATAATTTGGAAACTTGCCAAACAATTAGATTATTTGTCGATAAGATTGAAGATACAAATAATCAAACAAGTAAGTGGACAACATTCGTTTGATTCTTCAATTTCAACTTTGTTTTTTTTTCTTTTTTACAGTAAAAATTATCGATATTCTTGATCCTTTATTAGATGAAATAGATTCATCTATGAAAAAAATCAAAATTGATTTGGAAGATGTAACTATACCAGATATTAAACAAAAATTCCAAAACATTGAAACTGAATATAATGAAGCCATCGAAAATGTAAAACCATCATTGAATGATATCCGAAATCAGATGGGTGATGATGGCAATTTTAAAGAAATTCTTCGTCAATTAGATAAATATACAAATCAATGTGGCGATTTTCAAAGTAAAATTCAAAAATTCTTATTAATCATATTGATTGTAATATCATTGTTTACAATCATATTCATTATTGGTCTATTTAATGGTTGTCTTCGTGGTTGTTCATGTTTTTTTGGCTTTATTTTTATGTTAATTTTGGCATTATTTGGTACAATCAGTTTTATTGGTCTTGTTGGTGGTTCAGATTTTTGTCTATATTCAAAACAATTATCACAAACACTTGAAATGGATCAATCATTAAGAAATAATTTAGATTATTATTTTTATTGTGAACCAAAACGATTATCCGAATATGGTTTTCATTTAACCGATACGAAAGATTTAGAAAATCTATTCAATGAAATTCATCAATCTATGATTGATGGTCGGCAACAATTGACAAAAGCTGATGATTATTTTAAACAAATTAATATTCAATGTCAACAATATGAATCGTCATTTGATTCCGTTAAAAAAGTTTGTTCCGATATACGAACATTGAAACCAAACGTCGAAAAATTAAGTAAAATAACCTTCGATGTTGACAATATTTTACAACAAATTGAATGTCCATCAATCACACCAATTATTAATAATTTATTAACAAATATCTGTACAGATTTTTATAATTCATTTTTTCTATTTTTTCTAAATTCAATTTCGGCTGTAATGGGTTATTTCCTATTACTTTGTATTACTATTACTATTCTTTTAACTTTTTGATAATTCTTTTCTATATTTTTATATAAAAATAGATTTTTCCCGAAACAAAATATATCTGTCAATTTTCTTATTATCATCATAAAGTCTTTCTTTCCCTTTGATTCTAGTTTTTCATTTTCGATATTGAATGATTAAAAAATTTTTCAAGTTTTTTTTCTAAATTTCTGAACATTTTGTTACAAAATTTTATTTCATTTTATTGTTGTTCATGTAGCTTTTGTTGCTGATTATCTAATCATTATCCTCATCATTGTTGTTGTTTTTGTTAAAAATTCAAAAGAAAAAGATTGAAAACTTGTTTAATATATTTGATTTCGAATACGAAACTATTTCATTAACCTTCAACAACAGGAATAGAAAAACGCAATAATAACAACAAGTGAATGGATTGACAACAATCAATATGATGTAATGAAGTTTTAGACCGAAAAACAACATGAAATGAACATTTCATCATCACAGATATTGTTTCATGAAAAAAAAATAAAACATCTTTTCCATTCAATTGACTGATTTCCGATTTTTCAAAATAAATATTAATGATCATCGATCATTGGCCCAAAAACAAAACAATAAACATCAGGTAAGTCATTTTGATTTACAAACATTTTGAAACAGAAATGTGAACAAAACAGAAATTGACAAAAACAATTTCCAAATCCAAAAATCAATGTCAAATTTTGTTTGCTTTACACAGAAACAATGTACGTGTGTGTGTGCATGTTTGACTACTGCATAATCATAACCTGTTGTTTGTTTATTTCTTTTAATTCACTTCTTGATTATCATCAAAAAATGATGATCATCATATAGAAGAAGCAATGTATTCATAGTTAACTGATGTTCCATAATCATCATCATCAATTAATGATGTTGATGAAATATTTCATTGAATTTAAATGTTTTGATGTTTGATATTAACCCGCGATCGTACAATATCCAACAATTTATTATTCAAACGAGAAAAAAAAATTTGATGATTTGGCTAAATTCGTCTTTTACTGATTTGTTTTTCATTCGATTGTTGATAATTTTTTTTTGTTCGTTCGATACAACGATCAACAACAAATCGATTCAAAATTCAATCGAATTCCAATATCTTTGTTTGATAACAAAAATTTTTTGATTCAAAGAAAAAGATTAGATTTTATATTTCTATTTTTGTTAATCAAGAAACGCTAAAATGATCATCATTGATGGTATTTGCAATACGATCCATTTAATTATCCATTAATTGATTGAATATTCGATGTCTGTATGAATCAATGATAATAAGGAACAAAATAAAAAAAATACATATATCTTTGGCAAACAAAATCGAAAAATTAACAAACAAGAAAAAAATAAAGAAACCCTTTATATACCTTGTTGTTCATTTTGATTTATCTTATTTTTTTTTGGTAAATCATAATCATTAGAAAATTTTCTTAGGAAGAAGAAAGAAATTATTAATTTTTTTCTTCATTTTTTTACATAGTTTTTTCCAATGTTATTGAGAATATAATTCTATCGAAAAAGAAGAAAATTTATTGACCAAAAAATGTCCAATAATCGACAATCGATGGATACGTCCATCGCCGTTAAAAATTCGAACAAAATTTTAACAAAAAATCATTATGTTGTTGATGATGATGAGGAAGATGAAGAAAAATTAACATCCTGTGGTATTGGTTCATGGCGTCCAAAATGGTTACAATTTTTTTCAAGTCCAATATTTTTTCTTATCAATCTATCATTGGTCGGTATTATACAAAGTATGAATGGACCGATATTTTTTTCAACAATGAGTACATTGGAAAAACGTTATGCATTTGATTCAAAAATATCTGGTATCATTTTGATTGCCGATAATATTTCACAATTTATGGTAGGTATTTTGGTTCTGTTAGATGATGATGATTTTTTTCTTCTAAAATTATAAACTGATTTTGATTTATTATCTTCTGAAATACCAAATACTAGATTAGTCCACTTGCTGGTTATCTTGCTATACGTTTTAATCGAGCAAGATTGATTGCTGTTAGTGAATTGTTTTTAGCATTTGCATGTTTTCTAACAGCATCGCCATATTTTATTTATGGTCCAGCGGAATTATATGATCACCATGATAATGGCAATATGACTATTGGAGTTAATAATAATTGGTTAGTGAATATTACACAAACAACACCGATACCACCGATAATCAATGGACAATCATCGATACCGATAATAACAGCTGGACAATCTGCATCATCATCAATATTTCAAAATTTAAAAAATAATCATAAATCATTGCAAATGTGTTCAGATAATAATGCCGAAATTAATGAAATGAGATGTTTGGATAAACGTGGCCATACAAAATGGCTTGCTGTTATAATATTATTTTTCGGTTGTTTTTTCAAAGGTATCGGTTTTACCTGTTATTTTGTTATCGGTTTTCCTTATCTGGATGATAATGTTGGTAAAAAAAATTCACCAATCTATATGAGCATTATACAAGCGATACGTTTAATTGGTCCAGCTTGTGGATATTTATTGGCATCATTTTGTCTAAGATTTTATGAAAATCCTTTGGGTAAATATTTTATGATTTTTGAATTTTTCTTATGTTATTCTTTATTTATTTTATAGCAAATGTAGGAATTACACGAACAGATCCACGTTTTGTTGGTGCATGGTGGCTTGCATTCTGTATAACGGGAACATTATTGTTTATTGTAACATTACCGATGTTTTTATTTCCGACACAATTTAAAACAGCTTCATGCAAAGCAACTAAAATGAAAAAACGAATGAAACAAGCCGGTGGTAGTTTACAGGCATTTAAACGTTTTCTTACAAATCCATTTATTATGTTATATCTTGCTGGCAGTATATTCCGTTATATTGGTATCGGTGGTTATATAATGTTGAAACCAAAATTTATTGAATCACAATTTAGACAATCATCATCATCGGCTAGTTTTATAACCGGTACAACATCAATCTTACCAATGGCTATTGGAATATTATTGGGTGGTGCAATGTTGGCATTGTTTCGGCCAAATGCTCGTGCTATATTGATTTATGTTTTTTTCGCTGAAGGTTTATCAATTTTTTCAATGGGTTCGGGAATGTTTTTAGGTTGTGATCCGGTACAAATGGATGGTAATTATAATTCATTAGGAAGGTTTGTTTAATAATGATGAAATATTTTCGATTATAAAATGATTAATTTCATATTTAATGTTATTTATTTATTTATCGAATAGATTTACAATGAATGCACCATGTAATCAAGATTGTTCGTGTACAACCAATTCATTTGCACCGGTTTGTGCTCCCGATGGACGAACAACATTTTTTTCGCCTTGTTTTGCCGGTTGTCGAGAAATATTTATGGCAAATCAAACATTAACCGATTGTTCCTGTATAAAAGATGTAAATAATGATAATCCAGCTCATATTGGTTATTGTCAACGTGATATTGATAAATGTACAAATTTAGTTCCATATTTGATGGTTGTACTTGGTGGTTCTATTGTATCAGCAACAGCACGTACAGCTAATGCATTAATATCATTCAGATCGGTCGATCCAATGGATAAAGGATTTACAATTGGTGCTGCATCAGCATTTATGGCTATTTTCGGTATTTATATTTAAATATTTTTTTCAAAATCAACAAATATTATTTATTTTCTTTTATTCGAATTAGCATTCATACCATATCCATTAATATTTGGTAATATTGCCGATGCTTCATGTAAAATTTGGGAATCACGTTGTGGTAAATCAGGAAATTGTTGGCTTTATGATCAGAAAAAATTTCGTACATTTTTTCATGGCGGTGTTGCATTTTTTTTGACATTGGGTAGCATATTTGATTTTGCAATGATATTCTATGCTGATCGTATTAAAAATTTCTATGGTGATGAAGATGATGATGATAATAATATTGATAGTGATGATGGTAATAATATTGATCATGAATCGCCACCAGTAATGATCCAAGAAAGAAATACAAGACAATTATCAAGAAATTTTCCACCAAAATCAGAAATGCATGAATTTAGCAATCAAAATATGCCTAAATACCAGAAATAAAAACAACAACAAGCCTAAAGAACAATCAACTTTTAAAGAATATTCTTTTGTTGAAGCAATCATAACAATTTTTTTCAAAAATTTCAATACTGGATTATCAAAATTATCATCCACCAAATTCAATTATAAACTAACTAACTGTTGTTGTTCTGATCAAATATTATCAACTAATAATTATGTTTTCATATTTCACTATAGTTTGTTTCACAATAGCCAAAAGAAAGAGCAATAGAAGATATTTGTGAAAAATTTCTCTTTTTTCAGACAAAAAATCAAAAAAAAAAGAAATGTGAACAAACAAAGAATACTAGTTTTTTTCCACTACCTAATCATAATTATCATTAATTAAATAATGTTTATTATAATGATGTTAATAAGTTTTTTTTCATAATATAATATTCTCATATTTCAATGAGTTTGACATTTGTTGTTTTATCATTCGTTTATGTTCGAATGTTTAAATAAAAATTATTCAAGAAATAAATGATTTGATGATTTTTTTTCTGATTTTCTGTTTTTTCGGCTGTTTTGATAAATTTCCTATCTTTTGCTTGATAATTTTTTTTTATTGACTTCAAAGAAAAGATTAGATTTTTATTATTACATTTTTGCAATGAAGAAACGATGAAATGATCATTGGCAATACGATCCATTCAATTGATCGAATAATCATCGCTGTATCAATGCTATCGATGATATCATCATGAGGAAGAAATAAAGAAATCTTAATTTTATTGGAAAAGAAAACCGAAAAATCACCAAACAAAAATAAATAAAGAACCCTTGATACCTTACTCATTTGGATTCATCTCGTTGGTCAATCATCATCATCATTATTATCATTTCATTACAATATTTTCTTTAGAAAAAATAGAAATTATTAATTTTTTTTTCAATTCAAATTATTTTTACTCCGGTAATTGTAAATATAATTTTACAAAAAGAAAATTGGTCAAAAAAAAATGTCCAATAATCGAAAATCGATAGATTCGTCCATCGCCGCTAAAAATTCGAACAAATTTTCAACAAAAAATCATTATGTTGTTAATGATGATGAGGAAGATGAAGAAAAATTAACATCCTGTGGTATTGGTTCATGGCGTCCAAAATGGTTACAATTTTTTTCAAGTCCAATATTTTTTCTTATCAATCTATCATTGGTCGGTATTATACAAAGTATGAATGGACCGATATTTTTTTCAACAATGAGTACATTGGAAAAACGTTATGCATTCGATTCAAAAATATCTGCTATAATTTTGATTGCCGATAATATTTCACAATTTTTTGTATGTATTGTTTTTTTTTTGCTGATTTTTTTATGATAATAGTTACAATATTTGATTATTTTGAATTAACAAGATGAGTCCAATTGCTGGTTATCTTGCTATACGTTTTAATCGGGCACGATTAATTGCCTCTGCTGAATTACTCTTAGCATTTTCATGTTTTCTAACGGCATCACCATATTTTATCTATGGTCCAGCTCAATTAGATGAACATCATCATAATGGTAATATGACTATTGGAACTAATGATAATTGGTTATTGAATATTACACAAACAACATCGACAACACCAATACCACTGATAATCAATGGACAATCATCAATACCGATAATAGCAACTGGAAAATCACCATCAATATTCAAAAATCTTAATAATAATCATAAATCATTGCAAATGTGTTCAGATAATAATGCCGGAATTAATGAAATGAAATGTTTGGATAAAAGTAGCCATACAAAATGGTTGGCTGTTGTAATATTATTTATCGTTAGTTTTTTCAAGGGTATTGGTTTTACATGTTATTTTGTTATCGGTTTTCCATATTTGGATGATAATGTTGGTAAAAAAAATTCACCAATCTATATGAGCATTATACAGGCAACAAGATTAATTGGTCCGGCTTGTGGATATTTATTGTCATCATTTTGTCTAAGATTTTATGAAAATCCTTTGGGTAAATATTTTATGATTTTTGAATTTTTCTTATGTTATTCTTTATTTTTTTATAGCCAATGTAACAATCACACGAAC